TTTCCCTACTGTCCAGAGGGTGGGGGAAGCATCACAGCTATTCCTACCCCAGCTGGACTGCATGCCTGAATCTGCTACTCTCCTGCTCTGCTGCTCCTGCTCTGCTGTTGAAGCTGTCCCCACCCTCATCCCTAAATAGGCCCAGCCCCAGCATAGCCCAGCTGGGGTAGATAAGAACAGCTCTGGTACTTCTGCTCCCAGAACAGCAGAGAAAGCTGGTGAGAGGAGAAGAGGGAAATTTCCACCTGCTTTAGGGACTTATAGTCTCTGGAGGCTCTCAAGGATGGTCTGCCTATATCAGTGGAAGTGGAGGAGACTGGGAGATAATGGGGGTACAACCAACCCTGCAGTGCAGGTTGTTACTTGTGCACCCCCCTTTGGGCAATCCTCGATCCACCTCGTACACACACACTTTCAGTTTAAGCATTTTTAACTTTCTAAGAACTCCAAAACAGTTGAACAAAAGCCTCCAGACTTGCCTTTGACAGAATGGGCCATGTTAAGCCCAACACAAGGTAACCGCAAGAGAGCAGTAACTGAACATTTCCTATTCATTTTTCCTTGATGTAATGCATCAGGTCATAGGCAGTCTTATCTAGTGGTTAGGCCACTGAGGGAAGACAGGAGTCTGGGGTATGGTCTAGAACAGTCTGCATCAGGGCTTGGGATCCAAGTTAACAGAGCCTTGGACAGACTCCAAGACACAGGCTAGGTCAAGGTTCAAGGGTCTGAGGCCAAGCTACCAGATCCAGAGGGAAATCCAGAGGCAGAGGCCCAAATCCAAGCAGGGTCAGGGTCTCAGATGCTAAGTTGCTAGATCTAAAGGAAAACCTACAAGCCAGAATCCAAAAGCAGAGCCAAAAAGGTAAAGAACCAGGAAGCCAGAGAGCATACGCACAAAGCAGACCTTAGTCAGAACTGCTAGTTGGCTGCTGTTCGTTACCACAGGTAGGATAAATGGGGAACCTGCTCTCCCAGCAGCCAAACAAAAGGCCCAGACAGTGGCCAGCTGGAGTAATTTACTTAGTTAGGGCTCCCAGTCAAAGCCTCAGGAAGGCGTGGCCCACTAGGCATTTAACTCAGATCTGACGACCTGTCACAGCTCCTGACACTTGGGAACAGGGAACCTTGGTGACTAGTTTCCCAAACCACTGGCTTTTCCACAGGGCCAGTATGCCTTTGCTCTGCTCTTCTCCCAGATGTGTTGTGCCCAAAATGTCTATATTGGCAGAAACAGATGGGAATCCATTGCATGAATGGCTCTTCAAAAAGCAGTAACTGCCAAATGAATTTTTCAAGGGAAATAACATGTTGCTAGGGGCCACTGTTTTAGGCACCACAGCATTCATTTGCGTTTGGTTCAAATTTACATCAAAATCAAGAGGCCTAGAAACCATTAGATGTTCAAAAAAGATAGAATAAGTTTAGCTTTTCAAAAGTGCTGAATACCTTCCAGTTCTCACTGACCTTGCTGTAATTGGTTAGGTTAGGTTAGGTTGGGTTACATACAAAAAACTGCATCTGCACCTGCACAACATGTTTGAGAGGATCTATTATGATTTCTAGAAGTTTAATGAAACTTGCCTTCCTTTACTACAACACTCATGGGCTGCATCTTCTCTTCTCCCTGTTGAAAGAATTTTCATGATGGCTAAATGTCTCCTTGAAACCTGAGCCCACTCCCTGAAGCCTGCTTAAAATAGATCCTTAAACATAGAAGTACAAATAATTCCAACCCTCCTTGATGCTATTATTTGCTGGTGTGAGCCAGAGTGCTACAATCAATGTGAAATATCATAGCTGTGGCTGCTCTTATCAGACTTTCTCAGAGAATATCCAGTGTTTATATAAAGATAAAACCAAGCAAGTTCTACAACTGGGGAGGACATTAGATTTTAAAGCATAGTGAATTATTAAGGATTGTGTGGGCTGGCTTTTGTTTAAATTCTTTACTGGTGGGCTTCTTCTATGGATTGCATTTATGAGAAGATAATGAGCAGAGATTTAGAGCTGACCATCTTAAACAAAAATGTTGCATAGCCCTGTGGTATGTATGCCTAGGTGTAAAGTTACATGTTTCATACATAAACAAAGCAGGAATCTCTTGGAAGCCAACTGCTGTCTGCAGAACCAGAAGAGGAAAACTAGGTGAATAAAATGACAGAATTTGAAATTCAGTGCAAAATAGCAGATTCACTAGGAGGAACGCTAAGAAGCGGTGGATTACACTTTGTCAGTAATTAGTGATCCAAAATAAATATACTTTTGTTTTAGCATTTAAAATATTACTGTTAAAGTTTTAAATAAATATGAAAATTTATTAGCACAAACATTCAAAATATTACAGTTGTGCTATAGTTCACTGAAGAAAATGATCCAATAGAAACACCCAGACTCCTCAAAGTCTTTCCTGTTATGCAAACCTTGAGGGAGACAGCAGACCACAGGGTTGTTGCTGAAATGAAAGTCAACCTCTTGGAAACCTTATAGCAATACATCATTTCAGATGGGGCCCTTATTAAAAAAATAAAAACCTGAGCATGATAACAAAAGGTAATGGACAGAATTACTCAGATATAGGAGATAGAAAACAATAGGGAATAGCATGCATATCCTGAAGGTTGAAGATTAATTAATTTTTTTTTAAGTCTATAACCTGTAGGCTGAAAAGGATTCCTACCACTTGGCTAGGAACCAAAATCTAAGCCTGACAGAGAAAGAAAGCATTAAAAATATACTTTCTGTTAATTTATATAAGACCTCTAGTGTGCTACGTTTTTACAGATGGAAAGGCAGATTTTTGCACCAAAATCATTGGTAATTACTAAGGTGCCTCAAAGAAATAATTCTAAAAAAAAGCCATGGCCAGGAGCAGTGTGCCTAGTGCAAGGACAGCATGTGGCAGTGCTCTCAAGTCCCTATCCCTGACAGTGATGACCAGTGCCCCGTGCTCCTGC